CAGAGCGTCCGCCACAGCGGCTTCAAGGTCTGTACTAGAGCTGAGAACCCGCATGGCATTCATGGAGGACGGTAGCCTTCCTGACTGGCCCATTCCATAGCGATCTACAAAGGAAAAAAAAAAATAAATTACAGGGTTACCTTTGGAAGCTGGGGGTAGAATAGAATTCCTGGAAAAGTGATTACTGGGGACATCGGAAAAGGCGATATCTGAAGAGGAGGAGTGACTATCAACACGTTCTCCTTATAGTACAAAAACAATGGGAGACAATGGACTCCTCCAAAGCACATAATCAGTGTCATGATGTAGAAACAATGGAATTCTGCCTCCTCACCACCAAAACATGCAGCCTTATACCAACTGGGTATACCCCAGATTACAGGTGGTCTAAAATAGTGCTCTGTATCAGGGACCATCCACTGAAAGCTCAGAGACCATAAGGGACATCAGTAGGGATCATAGCAGCAAGAGGATTCAGAGGCACTTGGGATCCACAGGATCCACAGGGCACATCAGCAAGGATTTAGTACCAACCAGGAGCGGACTGACCATTTGGAAACTTGGCCACTGCCCGAGGGCCCCATGAGATGCCCCTGGTACCTTTTTCATAGGCTATTTTGAGTTTGGGCAAGGACACAGGGGCCCCATGATCCCCTATTGCCCAGAAGCCCCATGAGTTCTCAGTCAGCCCCTGGTACCAACATTTCAGCTCCACCATGCATGCTATTCCAGCAAAAGAAATACAGACATTCCATAGTGCAACCTATTGCTTTAACCACTTCCAGTCCGGACATTTTCACCCCCTTCCAGTCCAGGCCAATTTTCAGTTTTCAGCGCTATCACACTTTGAATGACAATTGCGCGGTCATGCAACACTGTACCCATATGCATTTTCAAACATTTTTTTGAGCTCAGATAAAGCTTTTTTTTGGTGGTATTTATTCACCACTGGGATTTTTTTTTTTTTTTTGCTATGTAAATTAAAAAGTCCAAAAATTTTGAAAAAAAAGTGTTTTTCTTATAAAATTTTGCAAACAAATAGTATTTCATCATAAATCTTAGCCACAGTTTATTCTGTGATATTTTTAGTAAAAAAAAAAAATTACCCAAATTAGTTTATAACTAAAAATTAAAATTTTAAAACATTTGTTTTTTATATTATTTTTTATTTATTTTTTAATTTTTTTACATACTGTCACCGTAGCAGTACAGTGTCACCATGGTGACACTGTACTACTTGTGGTGGGTGAGTGGGATTTTTTTTTTTTTTTTTTTTACACTGATTGCTTTTACACCCATAAAGGATGTAAAAGCAATAATTTCTCCTTCTCTCTGGCTGCATTCTTGCAGCCATTGAGAAGTACTGAGTGAGCTGTGATTGGTCACAGCTTGTCACATGGTACAAGGCTGTTGTGAATAGCCTTGAACCATGTGACCTCTGTGATCATTCACAGCTTTCACAGGTAGTAAGCAATGATGTCACAAGTGACATCTTGCTTACTACTCTGCATGTGATCACTGATTGGCTAATCAGTGATCACATGATCGGGACCTCGTACAGAGGTCCCGTCCGACGATCGGTGTTCCACTGTGTTTGGAGGACACAGCGGACACCGGATCGCGGTGCTGCGCGCTCCCAGGGAGCGCGCACAAGCAGGGAGTGGAGAAGCCGTTTATAAATGGCCACCCGACCCTGCACTGCCACTGTCTGGCCGTTTATATACAATGGCCGGACGGGAGGTGGTTAACTACACCAATATACTACAGTTGATTTACTAAAACTGGAGAGTGCAAAATCTGGTGCAGCTCTGAATAGAAACCAATCAGCTTCCAGTTTTTTTTTGTCAAAGCTTACCTGAACAAGCTGAAGTTAGAAGCGGATTTGCTACCATGCACAGCTGCACACTCCAGTTTTAGTAAATCAACCACACTAGTTGTGTGAGGACGTCAGCAAGGCTCTGCCCTGATACGTTTCAACCAACGGAACCTCTAGAAAACATTGGATGAAACGCATCAGTTGCAGACTCTGTGCTGACGTCATCACGCCTGCTGGAGGTAGATTTGCTATATGCGATTGTTTGACTTGAGTAGATACACAGCATACTGGTATAATAAAAGCAATAGTTTGCACTATGGAATGCCTGTTTATTTCTTTTGCTGGAATAACATGCATGGCAGAGGTGAAGTGTTGGTACTAAATCCCTGCAGATGTGCCCCGTGGTTCCCAAGTGCTTTTGAAACATCTTGCCGATGTGATCCTTACTGATTATTCCTTATGGCCTCTGAGCTTTGGGTGGATGGTCTTGGATAAAGAGCACAAATTTAGACCAACTATAATATGGGGTCTACCCAAATGGCATTCTGCCCATCCGATGTCTCCAGGATATAACCCAGGAAATCCACTGAAAAGATGTGGGTGTTGACAAAGCAAAAGTAGGCAGACTCTGCGAATATTCAGCTGCTACACAAACATTGCATCCTGGGACTTCTAATGTAACAGCAGCTGAAGATTCAAAGTCAGGAAACCCTTGAAGCACCAAAGCGGCATTTGCCTCTCCTAGAGTCTAACAGAATTATTTCACCTGTATGAGAGTAAAATGAAGAGGAATGGCAAAAAAAAGAAAGCAGAGACGCGATGGATAATCCAACTGAAAAACAAAGCAGGGAAGTGGGTGTGAATTACTGGCCCCCGGATCAATAACACCGCCTCTGCTCATTATAAATGTCTGTATGCGTACTGTGATTGGTCACTAGGGGGCAGTAACACAGCTGTAAAGTAACATGCCAAAAGTTTCGGCAATATTAAATCCAAAACAACCAAATATACATGACCAAATAAATGGGAGAAAAAAAAAAAAAAAAAAAAGTAAAAGGGAAGTCTTGTCCATACAATAATCTATTGTCCATCACCACCAAAACAAACCAATACAAAATGAGGATGATTCCCTTGGATCTTAATAGATGTTACACTTCCCTGAATGTTACATTGTATCTTCAGAATTGTCACATCAAACAGGAAACACCAAATATGAATGACAAATTCTTGCAGATGACAATTACATTACATAGATTCCTTGACTGTCAGATCGGCATTCTGTGGCTTCACTGTGGTCATGCACTCTCCTTGACAGCATTTGTAAGGGCATTCATAGGCAGACCATAAAAAAAACCCCAAAAAACACCATCTATGCCCAAAGTGGATCTTTAATCTGTCCTTCAGATGACTCCACCTGAACCACCCCCAGGAAGAGCCTTTTCCCACATGTGCACCTTCGCAGGTGATTTCCAGTGCATTCGCAAAGACAGCAAAGGATTGAGACTTCCCTAATAGCCATCTTTGTGCAAACATGGGAAACCATGCGTGTGTGCATATGATCGGGAAAACCCATACATGTGCAGCTACGCCGCAGGGCTCGTCTGCGCATGTGAAGGACACATTGGAAGAAAAAAAAAAATATATACTTTGTAGGTATACAATCCACACCTCAACTACTATACCCAAACTAATAAATGAGAAAAAAGATTTAACAATGCTCAATACCATGTACTCCTTATATAGCTATTAGTGGTGCACCAAAATGAAAATTCTACACAAAAAATGCAGGATGCACTTGGCCGAAAACTGAAACAGTGGACAGTGTTTAAGAAAAAAATATATATATATTTTTTATATATGTATCCAGTAACATAAAATAACTTATACTGGAAAAAGAAAGAAGGAAAGAAGGAAAGGAGGGAGGGAGAGAAAGAAAGAAAGAAAGAAAGAAAGAAAGAAAGAAAAGAAGGGAGGGAAGGAAAGAAAGAAAGGGAGGGAGGGAAAGAAAGAAAGGAGGGAGGGAAAGAAAGAAAGGAGAGAAAGAAAGACAGACAGAAAGAGAGAAAGAGAAAGAAAGAAAGAAAAAGAGAGAAAGAAAAAGAGAGAGAGAGAGAGAGAGAGAGAGAGAGAGAGAGAGAGAGAGACACAGACAGAGACAGAGAAAGAAAGAGAGAAAGAAGGAAAGAGAAAGAGAAAGAGAAAGAGAAAGAGAAAGAGAAAGAGAAAGAGAAAGAGAAAGAGAGAAAGAGAAAGAGAAAGAGAAGAGAAAGAAAGAGAGAGAGAGAGAGAAAGAAAGATAGAGAGAAAGAAAGAAAGATAGAGAGAAAGAAAGAAAGAAAGAAAGAGAAAAAGAAAGAAAGAGAAAAAGAAAGAAAGAAAGAAAAGAAAGAAAGAAAGAGAAAGAAAGAAGGGAAAGAAAGAGAAAGAAAGAAGGGAAAGAAGGGAAAGAAAGAAAAGAAGGGAAAGAAAGAAAAGAAAGAAAAGAAAGGAAAAGAAAGAAATAAAAGAAAGAAAAGAAAAGGGAAAGAAAGAAAGAAAGAAAGAAAGAAAGGAAGAAGAAAGAAAGAAAGAAAGAAAGAAAGAAAGAAGGAAGAAAGAAAAAGAAAGAAGTGAGCGAATGTGTGTGTATAGATGTATATGATCCACAATAATTTAAAGGATAAGTTCACCTTTTGATAAAAAATAAATGCACATTTTTTGCATTTATTTTTTGTTGCAGGAGCCTGTAATCAGATCACTGGTGCCATTCAGGACTCCTGCAGACCTGTCAGTACATCTGTGTGCCTGGACATCATGTATGAGCAAGCCGATGTATTCTTATAGGAACAATCAATGAACTAACACAGCACTCACAGCGCCGTGGTAATTCATTGAGAACTACAAGCCAACAGCCACTAAGGTATTCTGTGAATAAGTGATGCAGCCAGGCAGGAGGAGCCCGTACAGCTGCATTTTTTAAAAAAATGTTGGCAGCTAGTGGGAGGAGAAGATCCCCTGCAAGCTGGGGAAGCGGGGAGGTGTGTGGGGCAGTCCTTTCTTAACATGTTACATGTAACACCCTGAATATGGATGTAACGTTCTGAAAGGTAAACTTTTCCTTCACAAAAAAACCCAAAACCCACCAAAAAAAAAAAAAGAAATCGGCATTATCTGTAAAACACCGATAACCCTATTTTCAGCCAATAATTTTCAGCGGCCAATGTATCAGTGCATCACTAATAGATATACAGAAGATATGAGCTTGTTA